CATAGTGTACAAAAACTTTAATCCAAACGCAATGGGAAATTTCGCGACATTTGAATTAAATACAAACATACATATATATGTACATGCACACATACTTAACAATTGACTAGACCAAGTGAGATGTCGCAGCAGGGCCAACAGCTGGTCGAACTTAACTTTAGGCGGATAGACCTTTGTACGCCTAAGGGCATTCAAGTTTGTCGACTCATCATCGACCCAAAAACAAGCACACACATACACACAAATGCCGACACATTCATGAAGCGGAGTGAACATACATGCATATGTACGCAAGGGTATATGAAAATGTCAAGCAATTTAAGTAAAATGAAAAGTAAATAATTTTTTAAACAGACGAAAAGACTTAGCTTGGGCTCATATGTTCGAACGCCGCAAAGTATGCTCAACAAACGCATTAGTTGGGTGAACCACCCACAATCCGCCGCTGCTGTAATACTTAAATGTACACGTATATCTTGAATATAAATATATTTGCTTACTCTACACTCACAATAACACATATACGTGTCTCGGTTTTCTTATCGACAGTTAGGCAAACATTAAACCGGAAAATCTACAAGTATCTACAATATTTCAAAGATTTCATGCACCCATACATTTATATACATATGTATGTATGTCACAAAAGAGACCGCACGCTATGACACCCATCAGCGCAGATAATAAATGTAACCCTTTATCGGTTGAAGGCTGGCGTAGGCCGATACTCACAAACCAGGTGTTGCATAGTTTTGGGCGTACGAGTATTTGTAGTAAATGCGTGTCGAGAAATGTTCTTGTGCGTAAATATGTATGCACGTTTTGTGATATTTAAAATTATTGGAATTTGGAATTTCAGCATATGGCATTTTTTTTTGTATGAAGTGGGGAGAACATTATAACGGAGTCTACTTTTTAAGTAAGTGCTGCGGGGAGCCTTAATTTTTTTACTGAAACAGTTGACTATGCTCGTGGTAAAGTGGACTTTTTGGAATGAGATTGTTCTTCGAGGAAGTGAGTGAGAGTCAGTAGCATTGAGCGGAAATGAATAAGTGAGGTCATTGTCACGAGGCTTGGTATGGAGGCCTGTCGAGCTCGCACTTCTAGGAACTTCTTTATTATAATCGGGATCAAAAATGCGTTTGATGCACCTAAAGACGGTTTTAGAAAAAAAAATTAAACCTATTTATGTTTCGCAAAGTTGAGGAAATCCACTATATCGACGGCTCGATACCGAACAGCTCCAAACACAACTCGGTATACGGGAGTTGTGGGATATCATTTCAAAGCCGCCACTTTTAGCTACACACGAAATTATTGGTTCCAACAGGCTTTTCCACCATAGTAGCGAAAAAAAGACTCTTTAACTCACAACGTTGCACCCGACCGCAATTTATTCTGTCTTTACCACACAACGATTGCTGAAGAGAGAAGCAAAAGACGTTTGCAGACAGAAGGGCGAAATCTGTGTATATTAAGAGATCGAGAAATTTGCTGACTGGGGTTTTGCTTGAGAATTCGATGAAAAACTTCGGTGCCCAAGAGGAGGTTTCGGCATGAAAGCATACTTATGTAGGACTTAAAGGGCTACTCTTGCGACTGATGCCCAAGGAAATATTGAATTTTCCAACCTGCTGAGTGGGAGTGAACCCGAATTACCAATCAATAACTACGGCACAAATATTTGATTACAATGCCTATAATTAACCCTGAATAACAATTACTCGCCATAAGAACAACAAAAATGGCCGGAACCGAGATGGTTTACTGGTTGAACTATACATATCTGGTCGCGAAGAAAATAAAAGGAAGAATATGGTCGATCTAAAGCATGTCAAATGATTGCAATCTAATCGTTTTCTGCCTAATCTGCAAAAAGAGGGGGACCCCATAACCAGCCTTCCCACTGTTGAGTATAGGATAGTCGAGTACAAGACTATAGTCAACACTCAACAACCGTGACAAATCTACAATTAATTAGATATTTATCATGTGCCAAGTCTTGTGAAAAGATCAATGGGAAAAAAGCCGACACACATCTTTTCTTGTGGAAGCTAAAGCCGCCCTCCATAGCACACAAAGAGATATATCTACCCTGTATGTGTATCTGAACTTTGTATACCCGCAAAACTAAACCGGCTGCTGAAACTGATGCTAGTCAAGACCTAAAGCTCTGTGGAATCGTAAAACGATCTTTCCGAACAGTTTAATATCGCCGATTCGTGATCCAAGTGACCCCACATTATTTTCTAACTTACCCTTTCTATGTGTCTTCTTTCGCAAAAACCTTCTCACGAAAACTTCTGATGCTCACTGATCGAATGTAGCTCTCGTCCAAGCTTTTGCGCGATACTCGAAGATATATACAACATTATAAGAATGGTGAGTGGCTTCTAGCGATGCTTCTTTGTCCTTTAGATTAAGCAATTAGACAATGATGATGATGCTCGAAGACGCCGAAAGCTTAGGTTAAATAAATCGTGAAATTCTTGATTTTCGTCCTACGAAAAGCGTGCGGTGGAGCGTGCTAACTAACCGGTGGTCTACTTCTGGCTACTTGTTATATTATAACTCTGGTAAATTTCTTCATTCCCGGCTTAGGAGATCAAAGAAAATGCTGTCATCGAGTCAAGCTGAGTTTAAATCGATTTCAATTATAACCTCACTTTTGGCTACTTGGAACCTTTTTTAAAGAAACTTTCAAGGCGTGGTAAGAAGCTGCCAGCAATAATTTTTTAAAATTCCATTCTTTTTTCATTCCATTTTCAACTATGCTTCTTGCCTTTTGAGAAAAACCTTGACTGGATTACTATAAGCTAATGAGATTGAACTTTCTGCAATACTCACTCAAGATCATTACTTTTAAAGAGCTCAGTAAACGGACGTTCTCAGGGTTGTAGAAAGACTGGGTTCAATCAGAAGCCAGTCTCCACAACACAGAAGTGAAAGAAAGAAACGTCTTAATGAAGAGTGTCTTGATCTACCACTGAATTGAGTTTACGAGTACCTGCCGTCGTCGGCCTAACCTCAGGGTGCTCAAAAACACAACGGATCAACAGTGTTGATCAGCAACGAAAGGTAATACAAACACTATGGTACCAATTGGCTGTGTGATATGGACATACTGGCCACCTTGGTGTGGCTCGAGGCCCATCTAAAACCTCTGCCGTGATATGGGTCCGACAACCGGTTGCAATGCACACCACACACCGGGTTGGTCACCCACACTCCACATCAACTCTTCCCACATTTGGGTTTAAACCACAGCCAACTTGAAACTCCCAGAAGGGCCTTGCCGCAATGAACAGGTTGGAGCACGTACCGAGGGCTTCTGTTCTCCGTAGTACCGGGTTTACAGTCTCCAGTCAGAACTTGTAGCCGGAGTTAGTACCAATTGGGCTTCCATACAGCTCTGCATTGGTAGCCAGGATATTAGTCGCCTTTTCCGACAGGCATGCCTTGCCGCGGGTGTATTTTCTTCTAGGATTCGCACGGGGAATAAATAGGGACAGTTCGGGCTTATTCAATACATCTGCCAATCGAAATTTAATCTTCTGATTGCAAAACTATTCGTTTATTTGGATATATTTATAGCCGCTTCTCCTATTTAATGTTCAAAAAAAAATGCAATAAAAATAATAAAAAGGTTATATTAATAATAAAAAAATAATACCAACAACAAACAAATACTACCACCGAGAATAACATTGATAGTTATTTATATAAGTATGGCAACGCGAACAAATCCCCAATCGTGTCATGCCAAATTGACTGACACAACAGATAATAGAAATAAAAGAATAACGACGCCAACGCTGATGCCGCCGTCACCCAGCCAAAGTCACCTACAAACCACCAAAAATCAAAAAAAAAAAAAAAGAAACCGAGACAATGCAGCGAAGCTAAAGAAGTAAATGAATATTTTAGGTTTTTGAAGCGCTCCGAAGCGATGTGGCATAGTTGATTGAAATGACTGAAAGGATAACGCTGAGGTGCCGCCGCGCGTCGGCTGTCAAATGAACGAATCGCTGGGGTCGGGTGACGATGAGGAAAATAAACAATGGCAAAATAAGAAAAAAAATTATTAAAAAAAAAATATAAAAATAAAAGAAACTGAAAACAAATGCAAAAAAAAAAAATCGTGAGAAGGAAATTTTGTAAGGAAGCAAGCAAAATGTAGGAAAATGAAACACAAAAAGCGAGGATATGTGCGGAATAATGAATGTTTGTGTCTTATAGTAGCAATGCACAAGCACGTACAAGAAGTTATATAGTGTTTCCTGCACATATATATGTATATGTATATATGTACATACAAATTTATATTTGACTAAAGCCATTTTGATATGCATGCAAGTCCTCCGTTGTGTAAGGACACTGGCACTTACCTTGCCATTGCGATTTATTGTGTGGCACACCTTGCACGTTTCGTAAAGATGAGAAGAGGGATTCCGTTAAGACGTTGCTGACACAAGGATGCTGGTTGTATTGCAGTTTGTGTGAATCTCTGGCTAACTGGCGTAGGCGTAGGCGTATATAAGAAATGTCTCAGCTTTAGCGTGTTGATGAAAAAATGTCCTTATTATAGGGCGCGTGGAGTGGTTGGTCGTGAGTCGAATTGGCTGAGTGCCAGTTTTGTCGGAAGGTCGCTTGGCCTTACGAAAGTTGTCTGTCTACACGTTTACGCGTACATACATACATATGTGTATGTGTTTTCGGTGCACGAAATGCTAACGTTGCTCGGATGAAAGGACTTTTGTTTTTTATATATGTATGTACATATGTGTTATTTTACTTCCTTATTTTATGCTTACAAATACACACACACATATATTCACATACATATATGTGCATATATATTTACAAATTCAAGCACATTCTTCTTCTTCTTCTTCTTTGTCCAACACTTATTGTATGCGCTTTTATTTCACTTATTGTTCATCACATTAATTTTCTTTTGCTTCCAAAACACTTTTATTCACATTCAATTTTTCTTTCCACTTTTATTGCAATTTTTATTTTTTTTTTCTTCTTTTCTTTCATCTCAATAATAGACAGTCGAAGCAAGAAATACTGTGGCGAAAATAAAAAATCGCCAACAACATCCTTTCATAAACATACTAAAGCCTGTCTTTTGTGTGTCTTTCCATTTAATCTTTTGTCTCTCTTTGTATTATCCCTAAATGAAAATGTATTGTTTTTCGAATGTCTGTCACAGGCAACACTTTACTTTTGCTCGTCCTTGGACGTCATAAGCATAAGTCCGGCATGCGTTGTAATGGCAGCTGACGTGTGCAGAGATGTGCAACAGCTTTGAGAAGTGACACAATGATATAGTTTTCGGAATTCAAAAGTAGTTCTAGTTCTCCGTTCGATTTCTGCAATTCTATTTTGTTAAGCTTCAATCATTCCATTTGCATTTAAACGTGGAATAGCTGAAAAGAGAAAAAAATTTTAAATTATAATTAAATTAAAAAATATTTTTAAAATGGAAATTCAGTTGGAAACAGACTTTTAGGAAGGACTTATCCAAAAGGTCAATAACATACTCTAAATTATATCCAAAAACCAAATGGTGAATGAACTACATCTTGCGGCGAAAAGTTGGATGTTCCTTTGAACAGTCATTTTCTGCGCTGTTTTGAAGACATAAACACAATCACACGTAAGAAAAGTGGGACACATTCTAACAATAGAGACATGGTCAGACCTAGACCTAGATATGTGGCGGCCGCGGTAGCCAAGTGATTAGCATTACGTGCTGCCACTTGGAAGACTCGAGTTCTAATCCTCTTTTCATACCAACATTCAAAAAGTTATAGAAAATTTATTTAAATAAAAAATTAGACAAAATTTTCTAATTGCGGTCGTCCCTCGACAGGGAATGTCAACCCCTCAGAATGTATTTCTGACATGAAATAAAGGCCCCTAATGAAAAAACATCAAGACGCAAAACCACAAATTGTAGGAGGAGCACTCAGTGGTTGCAAAGCAACAATTTTTTTATTATATATACATTAAAAGGGTTGGATAAACCTTAAAATCATTCCAACCCTAACAATCTTCCAGATCGGAAGAGATCTTTCCCGCTGAATTACAGGCAGCTGAGGACGCTGGTGCGGCAACTAGATAGCAAACGTTGTGACGCGGTAGCCTAAGCCGATGATATTACCCCAACAGCGGCGAGTAAGCACCCACATGTCTTAAGTGTCTTACACCAAAATGCTCTAAATATAGCAGGAAGCTGGTGGAGGGCTGGGCTAGATATGAAACTAGCAAACTTAACTGGGACCGAATATATGCAAATATAATATCTGCACCTATAAAGCGCCGATTGGAAAAAGATGAGGCTTGAAACCGACTACTATTCACTGTATTTTTTTACAGCGGTACTTAGACCCATTCAATTCTGCGGCTCTATTGGCTAACACTCGAAAAAACTACCTTACACTTACAGGAGCAGACTGGATAGAGGTCGGCGGCAATTCTAATTACTGGCGCTCTACCGTTGGCTCCCTCAAAAGCTCTTGAATTTGTTGAAAACTTTCTTCCCCTTGAAATTTTTATGACATACTTCAAGCGAGCTGAAATTTATTAAATTGAACGTGACTCAGTCTTGGATGTTTTGCGCTACAGGGCACGTCCGGTTATTGTCTTCCGCACAGTTTCTAGAGGAGTTAGACTACGCAAGTAAGACGCATTATAATATAAAGAAAGACGTAGAGTATGAAGAGCTTGAGAATCTGGCTGACAAGAGTAATGCTCGACAATTCTTCAAAAAAATACATCGACTTTCAGAAGGTTTCAAGACCGGATCATTTAGGAACCAACCGGCCATGGTCGGAAGTGCCATTCAAATTTGTTGGTCAAGAGCTGACCAGGTGTATGCATACTCTTCTTTGCAGCATATGGTAGGCCGAAAGCATGCTCGATGTAGAAAAGCCAAACCTTAAAAGCCATTAATCTTTCCCATCTTGCCTGGATGATGACAAAACCTGATGAGTCTGCTCTGATAATTCTCGAGATGGCGGGTTTGCATAAGATTTATGATCTTCTCCAACGGCATAAGATTTATGATCTTCGGCAACGACCGATATAACGACAATCTGTCCAACATTCTCATAGTTCAAATCGAATTGAGAGACAGCGGCTACGTTGGCTAAGACATGTGGTTCGGATGGATAAGAATACTCCAGCTTTTCGATGCAGTACTCGCCACTGATGGAGAAGGACCTGATTGTAATTGGTAATTCCTATAAACGCGTAAGCATTGTCTCTGCCAGTAAAAAAAAAGGGCAAGGATCTTCCTACCATCATTGGCTGAGCTAAGGTCTGCCTGTCCAGTTAGTTTTTTGTCTATTTTCCAACAACAATACCAAGACTCGGTGACGGAGTCTCTCTCCCATCAGAAATCCAAGCACAAATTCACATTACGTCAATCGTACGCGGACATCAACTAGTTGGCTTCAAATTATTAAACGGGGTATGACTTTAAATCGGTATCCTTAAACGTTATTATCGAAACGGGATCGCCCGTTCGACTCGTTCTTTTCTATTGGACCAGATTTTTTATGTGGTGGGTCCCAAGCCCTGCGCATAACTACAAACGGTTTGCTTTTAATTATACTTCGTCTCCAAAATATATTTATAGGCACCCAGGGCATACTTGGCCCAAGACCCGCAGTCGTGAAGTGTAAAATAATATTTTCCAGCCTCCCCCAGGTCCTCCTCCAGATCCCACTTGTGTGGAATTCTACAGCAAATAAACTTTAAATTTCCCACCTATGCCAATTGCATGGCTCCTTCACTGAAAGCCACAAAGACTTGGAGCTCACAATTATCTCTTTTACCCACGACTTAGCAACGCTAACAACACTACTAACGAGCAACTCGTTCGTACATATATATGTATGGACATATAATGGAACGTGTGTTATGTTTAAATTTCATTCATATATACATACATGCATATATATGTATGAGAAGTCTGATCCTTACATGCTCTCCTTACTCACGCATTCACAAACTCAAATGAACACTTTTGAGTTTTGCGCGACTTTTACAGTTTATACACTGATTGACCTTCCAACAACACTCACATGAGCCATAACAACAACAACAACAATAACAAAAACTGACACAACACCACAGCTTATCTCTGCCAAAACATTTCGACAGCTTTTGTGTTTCTGCCATCTTTCCATTCTGAATGGCAAACAAGTTGACCTTTTTCAGCACTTTCAACGTTATCTACGAGCGTAGACCGCTATTACGTGTGCATATGTGTGCGTGTGTGCGTTGTTCTTGTTAGTAAATCGAAGCTGGCGGGGTAAGAAACTTAATAACTAGGCTTAGTTGGATAAGTAAATGCGAAATGTCTGGCGTAGTCACATCTCACTTTACCTGAGTGCGGGCAGAGGCAAACCTAACCTAAAAGCGTGTTTGTGTATGGCATACTCGCTACCTTTTTGGGCTGTTGATGTGGTTGATTGTTTGCTGTGTGATTGGGCATATTTTTATTTGTATACAGCACTTTCAGCTCTTCTTCTTTCTTCATTTTCTTCTTCTTCATTTTTGGTTTAACTTAAACTGGGCAATCAATTCTCGAACGTTCGCGCAAATATTTCTCTTCCATTTTAATCCTATAAGCGATTTACTATTACAATCTCCCCCGGCTCAGTCACGCTTATGTATGTATATGCAGTTAAAGTCTCGATGGGTCGTTCGAACTGTCCATTTTTGCGAGCAGAAGTGTGGTGCCACATGCCACACAGTCACTTCGCATACCTTTTTGTGCGTTTCCGCTGTGCTGATTTACTCTGTCATATCTCATATTGGTGATGGTATTGGTGTTGTTGTTGCTGTTGTTGTTGTTGTTGCTTTTACATATACTTCATCTGGAAGTTCTTATCCCAGTTTGCTGTTGTCTTTTGGTCTGTTTTTCCGGATTTTCCACTCCCTCTTTATAACTATTTATCGTACATAGATGTATACATATGCATGTATATATGACAGACAAGAGTATTTTTTTGCTGGCCTTCGTTTGATTGGGAAACACCTGACTTCAGCATTTTATTTAACTTGTTTGTTTTCCTTTCTTCTCTTCTCTTTTTAGCTTCATTCTTGCCTAGCAATTTATTATACGAATTTTTCGCATTTTTGCTTCAGTCTCTCATATTTATTTTACATAGATGTATGTATGTTGAATATACGAGGGTTGTTTGATAAATCAGTAATGCTTTGATATACATATATACAGTGAAGGACTAAAGTCTACATACATCCAGAATTTTTAATGTTTTCTACAATTTGTTTTTTAAATGGGAAAGTTAATGATGCAGTTTCGGTTTATATTCATATTTATTCATAAAAAAAACTATTAAATTATATCATTCGCATAATAACGGAACAATTAAAAAAACAAAAAAAATTAAGATGCCAAAAGTCTACATACACCTTAGTTTTAACTCAAAATAGCTTACAAAACCTAAAGATGTAAAAATTTGAATAATTTTAATATTTAGTCGGCCCACCGTTGTTGTCTTTTACTGCTTGAAGGCGTCGTGGCATTGATGCAGATTTTGCAGTAAGCTTGAGATCATTATCTTTTTGGAAAATCCAACCTTTCCCAAGCCCCAAACATTCCACTGATGACTTCAAATGTTATTCTAACAAACTTTTATATTTAAGGGGCACACCTAGTGTGAAATTTCAAAAAAAATCGATATTCTTTTTTAATATTTCGGTAGACTACACCTTTGAAAATATCATATTAAAATTTCAAGTCGATATCTCAATTTATAGTTAGTTATAGCAATTTAAAGAACAGCCGCTCGGCAGCTAGAGAGTCTCATTAGCAACGAGTGAAAACGATCATTTCATTTGCTGCAGTGATTACTCAAAAACAAATGATCCGATCACTATCGAATTTTTTTTACATGTTCTATATATAGTTCTCCGTACAATGACCTATCGATTTTTGAGCTGATCAAAAAATCGAATTTTGGCAGGCCAAAAACGACCAAAATTATACAGACAGTATTATCTAGTAGAGAATTTTTTTTTTTGATTTCATTTACGGCGAGGGCAGCAATCACTGCAGCAGTGAAGGACATTTTTTTGTTCGCTTTTGTTCGCGCCGTTGGACTATAACTTAAAAAATATTTAATTTTTTTTCAAAAATTTCACTGTACATTCTTGAATCATGTATAAATATATTCTTAAAATTTTTTTTTATTTTTTTTTTAAGTTTTTTTTTTAATATGAGCTACCAAAAATCAACTTTTTTTAGGCCATTACACTAGGTGTGCCCCTTAATTCGATCCTTATTACCTTCAATAAATGCCAGCTTACCAGCAGCAGACGTTGCTACAGCTATTGGAGGTTGACGAAGACAGTAAAGGTAATTTATTACTTAATTGGAAATTCATTAACA